TTCCATTGTAATATGCACAGCGTTATTTGGGTGTTTATGTTATAATTGAAAACGTTAACGGTTGTGGAAGATGGCAGCATATCCTGCAGGCCTAGTCCTTCACGTATCCTCTTCCTTTTTCGCTGTCAATGTATTATGCAAAATTTTAATTGAAACCTGATAGACACAACGACGTCGACAAGCCGAGAGATGCTGCCTAAGTAGCTTAAAATGTGATTAGTTTCTCTCTAAGACAAGCCCTGCTTATACATAATGTGCCTTAATTAATTCAAGATTTATTTCTACTTTGGCGATAAGACCTGCTCTCTACCTGTGACTTAAATTAATATCAAAACTGCCCAAGGAGAATGAAACTAAAAATCAGTGAGATCAAATTTTCAACCAATAATAATTCCAAATGCAAATGGCAGAGGGTGGGCATAGCCATTAGCTAAACTTGTTCACATCTGCTTTTACATATGTATTACTTTACAGCTTCTCTTTAGCCCCTGGCCACATATTGAATAATGTCCTCGTCCCCAAATCGAAACAGAATGCCATATGAATATGTGTGTGTTTCTCTTCTTGTATAAATCTGGCTGGCATGTTTAACATTTATCCTTTTGCGCTGCTCTGCTCGTCCTCGTTTTAATGTTCTTCGCATTAGTAGCAAGCTCCACTCCATACGATATACAACGAGTATGTATGCAAATCTCAGCTGACAATCCTTGGGGCGAAATTTTCCCCTCAAACTTTCGATGTGGCAAAGTTTTATGCGCTTCATTCGTTTGCATGGTTTCAATTGTTCTGCTTAATGCGTTTGACTTTTGTTTGCGGTTTACTCTATAGATACATATGTGGAAAATATAGAGGAGTTTAGCTATGGGGAAAGTTATGTAATCTTAAGGTAGTAGGAAGCTTTAATTTAATTCTTAGAGGGGAAATTTCATTATATATGATATTAATTATAGACAAAACATATCTTTAATGACGAAGCATATTTTTCGAAAGAATAAATTATGAGTGATGGAATACATCAGGTATTTGTATATTTACGTATAATAAATGTATAAAAATATACTCTAAATTATTGAGGAAAAGGTAAAAACTATACATCTTTTAATTTTCATACATGTTTATAAAAGTACATTGTTTTTGTGTAGTTCCCAATTATATATCATTCTAAAAGCACTCCGTTTCAACTATAAACTCAAACACCTAAAATTTATTAACTTTTGTTAACTTTATATATTAATTTCAATATTCATCCTCTTAGAAAGAGTATTTAAACACCTGAAAAACCACAATTGACTCAACCACGCTTAAGTGCATATCATTTGTGGTGCATATATACACATATATCTTGGATTCCTGGCGGCTTAGCTTGTAAACATTCATTCGCACTAGGCGCTTAATTTGTTTATGCCAAACAAACACCACTGCGTAAATAATAAGAGCTGCCGAAGGATTTTTGCGGAGGCGAGCAATTAAATTGCAATGCAAATTGAATGCAATCTAATGCCTGGCTGACTTCACAAGAAAAACTCTCTAATAAGATAAGGAGGAACCGTAATGGGTGTGTCTCTGTGTGTGTGTGTGTGTTCTGGGAAAAAGTAAATTATGCACATGACAAACTTTGCCCGGGGAGCCGAAAAATTTTTCGGTGGAGCGGCCAGAAACCAACTTGACACAAAAGTTGATGTCTCAAGTGTGAACTGAAATATATGAGGACTTCCTGCGGGAATGGGGGGACAAGAAGGAAAGTGCAGTTTCCGCTTTTGACTGTGCATATAAATCTTAAGACAGTTAACGACATCATATGGCAGAGTTGGTTCCAAGGATGAACTTACAATGCATATGCCACAAGCGGAAGGACCTGCCCTGCTCCTGGTACTCCCGCTCCTCCTGCTCCTCCGTCGATGCTGCTGAAAAATCCTTGGGCTGCGGTGGGCGTAACTTTCCTGCATAATTGTAAGGCGGAAGGCACGAAAGACGAAGGACGAAAACGAAAACGAAAATGTTCGCCCAGCCAGTTGAGGAAACCAATTTGTGGTAATTGTCGTGAAATTGCAATTTCTGCAACTGTAATGGCCCAAGGAATGACAGAGAGATGCACTGGGCTGGTGCTGGGAATCTGGTAAACTGGTGGAGAGAGCTATGGAGGCAGTGACTCCACTTAAATGAGATTCCTCCCAGCCGAAAAAGGTGAAAATGATAAACTGCCTAGGGCCGAATTAATGCGGAGATTGCACCGGAATGGCAGCCAATGCAAATGGGCCATAACCCTTAATGAACCAGTGGGCTTTTCGTCATTAAAATCGGATTCAGAATCAGTGTTATTGTTGGAATCTTCGCTATAATTTATTATATGTGTAATATATATCATTTATATTAAAAGTAATATTATATATCTCATCTTGCTTTAAGGCAAAGCTGAGCTACTGATCTCTAGAAAGATTTTGTTTAAATATCTGAAATTCGGTCAACTCTGTACTCTCGTTGGAAACCAATTTAACGCACATCAGTTGCTGGAGAACAAAAGCGAATACTTTTGTATTTTATACATTTTCGAGTGTTTTTTTTTTCCTACTGCCTTGGACTTTCCCCGAACACGCTGCTTTTATCAGCGCTGAAAAATCACGTGCGCATAAAACTTTCCAATCAGCGATGCCAAATACAAAAGAGGTCCTTAACAAGCTCCTCGAGTGGGCGAGAAAATAAGAGGAGACTCAGGTGCTTGCAATAAGTTTGAACCTCCTTTTGTGTCATAGCCCTTTTTCCTTCCACTCGTACGTATCTTCTGCGCTGGCAAAGTTTCAACTTAAAATGGCAAATCCATACAATAAATATATAAAATGTTACTCCTTGTGTCGCACCTGAACTAACCTCAAATAAATTTTCCACATGCACCGGACCAAGAGAGAGTGAGATAGAGAGCGGGTGCATTGCAAACAGACCTGGGACCTATAACTTCCTGTGTATTTAGCACACAAAAGTGCAAAAAACTTACCCCACACCTCACCTATCTTCCACACACACACACACAAAATAAAAAGTAAAAAGAAAGCACCTGAGATAAGACTCCTCTTCCCCTCCAAGCAGGCTGAGTGCGTTCTGAGTGTCTCGGTTTGGGGTCTCCTCTGGTGCCAACTCCAGGCGAAAGCAACAATTTCCAATCACTTCCCTGCAGCGACACAATTTTCTATATTTATACTTTACGACACCCCTGCCCCAAAGCAGTGAACCCTGGAGAAGGTGTGTTTTTCAAGAGGAAAAGGATGGAGTTGAAGTACCCTAAAAATTAAATGTATTTACAAATTAAATTTACATGAGAAACCTGTAAGGGTATATACAAGAATAATTAAACTTTAAAATATACTTATTTTTTCTAAATTCCTTAGCAATTTTTCTTCTTAAATAATCTTTTCATGTCCAACTGAATTTCTAGTAATACTACCCCCTTAGTTAGGGTATCGAGTGGTGGTTTGAATGCACGCTTAGTTTGTTTTAAGGAGAATGCCTCGGAATCGCCCCTTATGCGTATATCTGTACATATGTGTGTGTGTAAGTTTTGTCTCTGGGAAAACTTTAAAGCAACTTGGGGGGGGCAGTTAGAGGAATGTGGAAAGTGTTGCAGAATGAAAAGTTGCTCCTTCTTATGGCTATGCACAGTTGCAGTTCTTGTTGCATTGATGATTCGATTTGTTGCGATTGCGTTTTTAGTCTTTTGCATGTGCGCTCCCTCAAAAAGTTTCACATGGGGACCGACCGAGATAAAGCATAACAATTGCCTTGCACCAAAACTTTTCCCTTACAAATGTTCTCGTTTCGATATGAAGAGGGTGGGATACGAAATCCCATATACAAATCCATATATATATTCGAAAGGCGATTTATTGTGCCATTTTAAAGTTGGATTCCCCTTGCAGGACACAGCTGCTTACAAAGTTGTCCTCTGATTAATTGCAGCACCCTCGCTCGATACGAGGAGTCAAAAAATCAGAAATAACCAACAAATATCACTCATACGCCGGGTGTACCACAAATTTGGGTTAAATACTCGCCGGTCGATCGTTAAATGGGGAAAAAGCCAGCACGCACGGTGGCAGCTCATTAACGAATTTAAGCGCCCAGATATGAGTTCATAAAAGAAAATCCTGCCAAACATGTGTTCACCTGTTGTGGACTTTAAGCCAGGTCAGTGATGCTGCGGTATCTATCATAAGAGCTCTTGTTTTAAAATTACAAATTAAATTCTTAAATTTCTATACAAAAATGTAAAAAGTTGTAAGCTTAATAGGGAATTTAAGAAGGGAAGGAAAGTAACTTAGTTGTTTAATTTAATAATCAACTCCTCTTGGAGCTCCTAAAATATATAAACAAAAGCAAACTCAACTGGTAATATATTTCTTTATTTTAACAAATGATACCCCTATACTGTTACTTCTTTTTAAAATATTTAACTATGTTTAAAATAATATTTAGCTTGAAAGCAGCTAGACTATTATTGTAGTGTCACCTTTGGCCAACCATAAGCTTTAAAGCTGTTAAGCCACACACATATGCACCCATTTACTCGTTTTTTAATGCCATTTTTATGGCGACCATTTCGTTTGCAGCTTTCGTCAGTCACTCAGTCAGTCAGTCAGTCAGTGAGTCAGTCAGTCTGTCAGTCAGTCAGTCATTTGTTCCGTTAGTCAATCAGTCAGCAGCCTCAGTTGGGGCAACATTTTTACGGCCCTGAATGAAGTACCGCACGGACCATAATAATAGTTCCCTTCCAGCATTGGCAACTCATTAAGTTGGTTGCCTTTAAGGCTCGCGTTTTTTTGCAGTTTCGCAGGACCTCTTGACCGGCTCTTCACATTCCCCACAATTGTTATTTATGTTAATTTTACCACTCTACATCAGGCAGGCCCCGTCCCCCCTGTCGTATACGTATTTATTTTATGTTTATTTCCGCAAGCATTCACTGCAAAACATTCCACTCATTTTCGCATTTTCCTCTGATGTATTTGCAGAGCGGAAACTCTTCGTCGGCATGTTGAACAAAAAGTACACCGAGGCCGATGTGAGGCAACTCTTCACTGGCCATGGAACCATCGAGGAGTGCACCGTGCTCCGGGATCAGGCAGGTCAGAGCAAGGGCTGTGCCTTCGTCACATTCGCTACCAAACAGAATGCCATTGGGGCTATCAAGGTGAGTTTTTTGAGTTTTTATTAGATATTATAGCAAATATTCAAATATTCAATATTAGGTAGTGTGAAATTATGGATAATGTGGAAGAATAGTTCAATATATTAGGGAGAAGTTTCCTGTTTAAATTATTAAATAAGTTATTAATAAGTTATGGCAGATATGTATTTTGAAAATATATTACATTTGTATCGATATACGTCGAAGTTACTACTTCATATCAAAAAACATGACTATTTGTAACTATTTAATATCTATGGACATATACATATAACACCAAAATACCTAGTGCTCATACTTGGTCTTTATACCACAAAAACCTTTCCATTCTTATCGTATCTCATTGTCACTGGCAAAACTTCACCCATTGACATAAAAAATCCCATCACTTGTGTAAAAAAAATTCCAAGAAAGATCAACAGAAGTAACAAGCAAACAAAAAAAAACGATCAGCTTAAATTCCGATTATCTGCTTTAAGCGCATCATTGTCTTTGCTCCTGTTGCGAGTGTGTGGGAAAAACTGTCGCCATGATTAATTGCTGTGGCGGCAAGAGTCGCGCATATAAAACACGTCTCTTTTGCACACGCCCAAACACACTCACACACACACACAGCACACTCACCCACACAGGCACAGCTTCATTCCACAATGGCAGTAACAACAACAACAAAAACCGCATGCAACTGCAAACAGGAAGCTGAAATGCAAGCAAGACGCCGCCTCTGGCAGCGGAAGAAGTCAACGGTAATCCTGGCAACCAAGTAACCCCACAGGATCCTACGTTTCCCATGCCATCTCTTTCACTTTAAAGCAAACATTCACCACACACACACTCCCAATCCAACACTAATGCAAGTTTTGTGCCGGAAACAGGCAAAATTACAAACTTCCGACAGCCAAACACACACACACTCGCATGGAGCGTCCGAACATGCCGTCTCTGTTCTGCTCTGTTCTGTGTATATTGCACATAATTTGTCGCCTTTTGCAAGATGAATGTTGTTGTGGGCGGACGGCCATTGCAAAAGCCATGCATGCACACACTGTTGCATAGCAAAATACACAGATACTGGAAGGCTCTACGGGATGAACAAGCAGCGATGTAATCTAAAGGATGCAGCCTTATAGTCCAGGAAATGTGCCTCATGTAGGCTTGCATACCCAAATATATTTATTTGAACTTTAAAGGCTTAAAATTCTCAAATTTAAAAATTGATTACTTAAATTTTAGTCTGGGAAATACTATTCAAGGATCATGACTCACAAGTTATCACTGTACTGGAATCTGAGTGTGAGACGAGCGATTTTAATGCATTTGAAGTAAATTACGGTATTCTAGGCACGCACACGACATCATTGGGTTAAGGGGGTGTCCAAGGATCCCAAGGATCCAGGCGTTCGAGTTGTGTTAAAGTCAAGCAGAAGCAAATGATTTGGATCGAGGCGACTGAAGCGAGAGATGCAAAGTCATTGCAGTCTATTGACGCCTGAAAGTATGCAGCGCCATCAAATGCAATCCAGGACGAAAAAAAAGTCAAAAGGGAGAAGCTCTTGCTGGCAGAGAGTGCATTTAATATTAATGTGCCATGTTTATGGCCCAGCAATTTGTTCTCTCCCTCGACTCCTCCATTAAGTCTCTTTTTCTTTTGCGAAAAAACCCCGAATGAAAGCCAAGCTAAAAAGTATGAGTAAGCGGACGAAGGGGGAAAATGGGGGAGGGGTGGGATGGCCAAATGATGATAGCATTTTTCAACGCATGCAGATTTTATTTTTCGCATTCGTCTCGCTAATTTGTCAAGTGGTTGCGCCGAGTCCAGGCCAAGTTTGAAATGCGGTTGGGTTTCCAGTGCTCACTCTTGGCCAATGGGTCATTTAACCCTTCTTGTTTTCTTCTTTTTTATTTTGAGCTGAGTTGTACAGAGACTGTAGAGCTGTGAAAAATGACCAAGGATTAGTAAGGAACTTGAAGGGTGTTTTAAGTTAAAGCTTAAATAAATAAGTAAGATTTTAAGTGACTAAAATGAGCTTGTAAACTACAAAACAAACTGTTGTAGATTTAAATATGTTAATAATAAAGCACAAAGTTATCCCATCTTTGATTGCCTGTTAGGCAGCTTTATTATTGATTATTAAATATAGTTTTACTAGTTCTATTTATATCCCAGATAATTCAAAACTAAATTTGAGTCTATTTACTTTTCCTAACTTTAATACTACCCTGTCCACTGCGGTTTTCTCCTTGAACGATTCCTTCAAAAACTTCTAAAAACAAACTCGTTCGGCAGAAAGGTATTTAGAGGTCGAAAAGAGTTTTGATAAGTTTTATGGCAGCCCCTCGACGGCTTACAGCATCAGTATAATGACGCGCACTTAAGCCGCATCCGCATCCGCATGTCCACCCATTTGACAAGCCCCTCCTCATACCCACCTCCTGGATAGTTTAACCCACACAGCCATTTGTCCGCTTAAGCGACTTAATTTACACCTTTCTGCTAAGCCCGAAAACAAACAAAAATGGCGCAGGAATGGCATATGGGGATGAGATTGGGACAGAATCGAGGTGAGGCCAAGAGAGGCGGTGGCTGGCGTCATGAAAACCAGGCCAAACATTTAGCGAAGGCATTTAGGCTGCGGTCTGATGAGGGGGAAATGTTTCGCGGTAGTCGGGGTGTGAGGGGGGACGGTTGGCAAGCCACTTTACTTATTTTCCGGTTTATGTAGACTTTATCATTGAAACTCAGCCGGGTCTATGGGGACTATGACTATGGCGACCCGGGCTCCGAAACTTCCGCTCAATTGTGGCATCGCTGGCAACTCTGGCCTGCATCCTGCCACGCCCGCATGCCCCTCGCTGTGCCGCCTGTATCGTGGCAGCCACCAGAAGTGCTCTTTAATTACATTGACTATAATTCTTGCGGCTCTGGCGCGACTTTTATGGCCGTCGCATTGTTTTGCCCCCTCTCCGGCCATCGCAGGCGACACTGCTGCTCTTGGCTACAAAGTAATTAGGGAAATTTCCGAGTTTTAAAACAGGTCGGCATGGTTACGCAGCCCCAAAGACAGTTTTTCCCAAGCCTTGGATGGAATGGAGGTGCAACGTGCTGTTTGTCAGGGATGGGTGTGGAAAAATATTTAAGATTTGGATAAGGTATATATACCATTTTTAGGGTATTGTAATTGTATTCAGAAGCTCGTACGATGTGAAGAAATCATTTCCGACCTATAAGCAATATATATGTTAGGTTAGGTTTTGGTTTAGGTTTAGGTTTAGGTTTAGGTTTTAGGTTTTGTTAGGTTAATAAATCTGCATACTCAATTTATTAAATTAAAAGTTTTCATCCATTTTTGGAAATTTTAACGAAAATTTTGAAATTTTATTTTTTGGCCAGAGATGGTTGGAGCGACTCGTCGTTAATGATGATCAAGAATATATATACTTTATATAGTCGGCGGTGCCTCCTTCACTGCGTTGCAAACTTCAGACTGAAATTATAATACCCTGCAAGGGTATAAAAAAAGAAAAGGAAACAAACAAGGAAAAAAAATCCTAAATAGGCTTATATTAGCAAGCTTAAAATCCTTATTTTTTGAGCGGGTTTTTGTGTGAAGAATTACTTTTGCAAAAATTATATACAAGCATTGCTTGAAATATGTTAACTTTCTGTTATTTAAAAGCATACCAATTCTTAAAAATTTGCTTTACAAATATATATCAACTTATTTTAATATATATTTTATATAGAGCAGTTTCGATCATCACCATTGTTGTTCTTTGTTTAGTAAGTTGTGCTGAATAAACTATTTTCGGGAGTTAAATATACTTTACTATAAACAAATAAATGACACCATATCCCCGCTCGTCATGATCATCACGGCTCTTAAAGATAGCTTGGAAGACTTTTCGATATCAATAATAAGCTAGTCAACACGGCCACGGGTATGGAAATTAAACAATAATTTAATATAAACCATATTTTCAAGTATCTTGACTTTTTTGGCCTTGTTTTGGTTTCAATTATCAAAAGATATTTTAATAACGTCTTACCTTAATTAAGAAAACTATAATTGATTGCCACATCCACTTGATCAAAACTATCAACCACCAAGCACTAAATTAGTAATTTATATAAAAACCACACAAAAAGAAGAAGAAAACTAAACTTCCTGTAGCTAGAGCCTTGCTTAAGTGTAAGACTTGAGAATCGCAGAGGAGAGCGCTCTATGTACCAAATAATTAAGAAACGCCTATCTTTCAGTCGAAAACTTGAAACTTAGTGAAGGAGTCATTTCCGATCCTATTATTCATATATATTCTTGATCAGCATCAACAGCCGACTCGATCTAGCCATGGTTGCCACATCCACTTGATCAAAATCTATCAACCACCAAGCACTAAATTAGTAATTTAAATAAAAACCACACAAAAAGAAGAAGAAAACTAAACTTCCTCTAGCTAGGGCCTTGCTTAAGTATAAAACTTGAGAATCGCAGAGGAGAGCGCTCTATGTACCAAATAGTTAAACAAAGCCTATCTTTCAGTCGAAAGCTTGAAACTTAGTGAAGGAGTCATTTCCGATCCTATTATTCATATATATTCTTGATCAGCATCAACAGCCGACTCGATCTAGCCATGGTTGCCACATCCACTTGATCAAAATCTATCAACCACCAAGCACTAAATTAGTAATTTATATAAAAACCACACAAAAAGAAGAAGAAAACTGAACTTCCTCTAGCTAGGGCCTTGCTTAAGTATAAGACTTGAGAATCGCAGAGGAGAGCGCTCTATGTACCAAATAGTTAAACAAAGCCTATCTTTCAGTCGAAAGCTTGAATCTTAGTGAAGGAGTCATTTCCGATCCTATTATTCATATATATTCTTGATCAGCATCAACAGCCGAATCGATCTAGCCAGGTCCGTCTGTCCGTCTGTCCGTTTCTACGCAAACTAGTCTCTCAGTTTTAAAGCTATCTTAATCTAATCTCTATCTTTACATGGTCGGAGGTGCCTCCTTCACTGCGTTGCAAACTTCTGACTGAAATTATAATACCCTACAAGGGTATAAATATAGCAAATAACTTTTTAAAGAACGCGTATATTTTAAACTAGATTATGATCGATAGTAAAATTCCTTCCCTGTATTCAGTTTAAATAGTATGATGTTCTTTTAAGAAAGTCAAACACAATACCCTTTAAGTAGTGTCAACACTGCGTATGAGTAATATTATTTTTATTTTAATAATAACAAGCTCAGAAATATGAAATAAAATATATATAAATAATTAAGATAGGGATTTTATAAATAAAAATAAATTATAAAATAGTGAATTAATTATTTTTTCAAGCCAACGAAATACTTCCTGAGATATGACAACACTGCGTATGAGTAATATTTCTTAAAAACCTTACAGTAGGTCAGTAAAAAGGTCATTCTAGCTTTAAGCAATGGTATTATAATAAATTATGTATTAATAACAACTAAGACAATGCGGTAGTGCAGTTTTAAAAAGATGCGGCCTCTTTAATGGGATTTATAAATAAAAAAGCAGTAAAGAAAAAAACCAGAATAAATAATTTAAGGTTTCCACAAACTCTGCACTAGAAATAAATAATTTCTAAGCCTCATTATGTATTATTAGTAGAATTATATATAAAATTCCCCTATTCTTTACCTTTTTAGGCCCTCCACCAAAGTCAGACCATGGAGGGTTGTTCAGCCCCGTTGGTGGTCAAGTTCGCGGACACACAAAAGGAGAAAGACCAAAAGAAAATGCAGCAGCTTCATGCTTTTTGTGGCATCAATGCACTGACAGGACCCACGGCTAGCGGCGCTTCTGCTGCAGCTGCCACGCCCACTGCTAATGCGGCCACCGCCCTGATAGCCACAACACCTTCGGCGGCACGACCAAATCCATCGATGGCCGCCGCTTTGGCAGCAGTACCTCCAGTTCAGCAGGCAGGAGCATCGGCCCAAGCGGCTCTCGTTCAGGTGCCCTCCTCCGCCGCCCTTAATGCATCCTTGGCACCCGCCCTCCTGGCCAGTAATCCGCATCAAGGAGCTGCAGCAGCGGCGGCAGCAGCGGCCGCTTATTTGGGAACAGATCCAGCGACGGCGGCGCACCTGCAATTGTATCAGCAACTTCACGGATACGGACTGAGTCCGGCACACTATATGCCAGGTGAGTTAATGACTTCAGATTAGAGTTAAAGTTAGGTTTAACCGATAAGACAGATCCTCCTCGATTATTACCCCAAATCAAGAAATATAACCTTATCTGAGATTATACAATATATGGATGAGATAGTCTAACTAAAACTTAAATTTTATAATATTATAATAATAATAATAATACTCTCTCATCCATACATTTTATTCTATAATCTATGAATTTAGTCACAGACACTGAACAAATCCACAACGTTGCATCTTCCACTCTATATATATCTAAATATCTATTATCCGTAACTTTCATACTACCTGTCTTTGTTTCCACACATTTGCTCGTTGTTTTATTCGTGTGTTTTTTACTCTCTGTTTAATCTTATTTCCTTTCAATCGCGCACTTATTTATTTATTTTTATTGCAAAACAATAAGAAAATGTTTGCCATAAAATAATTTATTTTATATGTTCACTTAACTTTCTGGATGCTCTTTGGATCGAAAGAGTTATTCTAAATGTGTGTGTTTAGCATCTATTAAATATAGATGAAATTATGTTTAAAGAATGTTGAATGAGCTGCTATTTTTTACAAATAGTAATACAGGTTTTCTATGTGTGTGTGATTTTACTAAAAATGTGTTAAAACTATAGATAGATAATATTATTAGTAGGGAAATATTAACTTAGGGTACATGTTCCAATCCGCAAAAGTCAATAGATGTGCCTTAAGTCCTGGATTTATAACCAAAACGAACAAGAAGTAAATTTAAAATCCAGTATAATCACATTACTGGTTAGTTTCATGAACTTCTTTATTTCCCCCCCAAAAAGCTGCCATTTGTTTGACATTTAAATAAGTCAACAAGAATTAATGTAAAAGTAGAAAGAAAAAAACACCTCTGCTAACTTCATTTATAACCGGCAGATTTTAGTTAGGGAAAAAAATAACAAAAGTGCGGGAAGGAAAGCAAAGGAGAATCCAACTGACAAATAATTAATTTCAATTTAAGCAACAAAAATCTGCATAAATGCAGGCACTAAGGGGAATGTGCACAAAAAGAGAGAAAGCCGGAAAAGTTACGGAAAAGATGGGAGGAAAAACCAGGCCCGGCAACTGGAGAGCCTGATGAATAAAACAAAAACATTGTAATAGGATTAAAAGGTGGACAACGACAATGACGGGATGACATGACGATGATGCTGCCACGAGGATGATGATGATGATGCTGCCATAAGGAAAAGATGATGATGATGATGAATACAATGATAATGATGATGATGGCCCAGACGGTCTCTCAGATTTCTGGGCAACAGACGCACACGTACAGGGCGTCGATGTAAACGTGTTGCATATGCAACGCCGCTTCATTAGAATGACCGACGACGTGCCACGCCCCCCTTCTGACCAGTCTCGCCGTAAACGTGGACATTTTGCGCATAACAAATCAAGCACAAGGGCTTGAACAAACAAAAGGGTATGGGGGGGAGGGAGGGGTCAAATGAAATAAAAGGGGAATCACAGACAACCGAATGTTGAGCGGCGCGTGATGTAATCGCACAAAGCGCAAAAAAATCCCAGTACCAAAAAAGGGGAACTTTCTAGGTAGATGAGGTACACTAACAAAGTTTAAAAAAATGTTACAAAATAATTCGACATTTCATAGAAATATATGAATATTATCATTATTTTCTAGCTTAAATTCTTTAGTATTACTAAAGGTATAATAGAAATTCATACCTTCTAACATAGTAAACCTATCCATCCAAGAAGCAGGGCATGCGGAAGGGATTTCGTACTGAGGAAAAGTGACAAAAGCTGTGGAAATGCAAGAAAAAGGGAGGAGATGGTGGCCACCAATCCGAGGGCAGTAACTGGAACGGACAGTGAGAGGGCAGCTGCTCTTGGGCAGTTAGGGGAACTTAGAGCGACGACGTATGCCACTTGAATAACAAATGACGTTTTTAAATGCCAGATCCAGGAGGGGGGCGTCCCACAAAAGGACTCGACGACTCCGAACTCTGATGGCCAGCAAATGTATGGAACGTGTCCTCTACGCTCCTTCGTTTGGTTTATATATATATCTTTCTTTTTTTGTATATAAGTGCTGAATGAGACCGTTAAGTGGATGTGGCGGACCTGTAAACGTTGCCTGATTTGACCAATTTCGAGATTGAGCATTGACAGAAAAACCTTATTTAATTATGGTTGGAAAACAGATTTCAAATAAAGGAAAAGCTCCGATAGTTGAGCTTTGAAAAAGGGAAATATATAGGGAGTAAATAAGAGAATTAGAGTCTTTTCAGGGAAATAAATAACTTATAGTTTTAAAATCTCTCTAAATAGTAAAATAAAATAGCTCTGAGCCAAAAATTTGTACCAACTTATGAAAGACAGTGGAGGCGAGTCCGTAAAAGGAATAACCACCAAGCCAGGAACGTCTTTGTCTAGCATTTTCTTTTCTGTGCTTTTCCTCTTGCCCATTTGCCGACTTGAAATTTTTATAAGTCCTGCCAAAGGCCCCAAGGGCAAAAGGCGCCATCAAAGGTGGCTGAAACGAACAGCTTCACACAAGGATATAGTATGCTTTAGCCCCAATAGCCGGGGGCTTGGCAGGTAAACAAATGCAATTCCAATGTGGCAACAGCCCAGCACCTGAAGTTGTCCGCAGGTGAGAACACTTAAAGTTTTATTATGCCCACAAAAAAAGGGGGAGGAATGTAAAGGAGGATGGTAAAGGCAAAGGATATCAAAACTATACACACACACACACACATAGAATGCAGCTCATTCAAAGCGAGGAAGCAATTTGAGAAATATTCTTTAAATATGCTAGACAATGCCCGGCTCCTTATGTGAATATCCCTGTACATCTCTCTTTCCCTCTCTCTCTCTCTCAACTTGTTCCCTCCCACTCAGACACACACACTTGCACACACCTGCCTGCTCTCTCTCTCTCTCTCTATTTCTGCCTCTCTGCGTGTGTGTGTGTTCACAGGATTTTGTTTTGTGTAGAAAAAGAAACAAACAGCTTTCAATATTTTGCCAGCGCCGCCAAGTATGCAACATAAGAGCAACCTACGAAAAACAACACAGGAAACCGGAAACTGAAACGAACCATTTGTTTCCGGTTTCCTTCCGCCAGCATTCTTAGATTTATTCAATTATTTAATGCCATTGATTTACATAATTTTATATATATATATTTAGTTTATGTCTAACTGCATTCGATTGAATTGAATTTTATGTCTCTGCGTTTATGTATGTTTTGATTTTTATTTATTTATGATTTTCTTCGTATACTTAATATCCTGCATCCCCTCCGTTTCGTTAAACTATATTTTTAGTTATTTAATTGAATGCATTTTATGTTTTTATTATTGATTCTTTAAGAATTTATTATTATTTCATTTATTCAATTGTTGTTTTTGCTTATAATTTTTATAATAATTATAATTCACATTGATTTATAATTTTTTGCAAGATTTTAATCACAATTTATTTCATTTTTTATAATTTCAATACATTATTTAAATTATTATGATTTTAAATCAATTTTTTCGTCCTAAATTATATGCCATTTTATTTAAATTTCCATAGTTTTATTACTTCTATTATTATTTCATTTTATGTTACCCATTTTCATTTCGTTTTTTTCCCCCTCTTTGTTTATTTTTCCCCCTTTTATTTATTATGTTTTGATTTGTATGTTTACATATTTACATAAAATTGATCGAATTGAAACCCAAACCGAAACAAAAACAAAAAAACGCAAAAAAATGTTTAATTGAAATTACTTTTCTTATAATTTTTTGTAAATGTAAATAATCCAATTGGGTGTGTGTTTTCTTCTATGTTTTTTTATATATATAAATATTCGTTGAACATTATTTGGTATGTCTATGATTGACTCTGTGGTCATGTACAATCAATCAACCAACTCAACCAACTCAAAACCTTAAACCATAAAACCAAACCAACTCAAAAACTGTACAAAACAAAACCAAAAACAAAAAAAAAACAAAAAAATAACTATGGAACTCAGGACTAAATTTCCACCACCCATCGGATAACAGTGCCCACCACAGCCAGCACCCACAGTCACAGCCACAGCCTCAGTCACACCCATCAGGTGGCGCCGCCGGGAGCGCCGCATCCGCAGCAGCCGCATCTCTATCGGCTGCCGTCGCCGCAGCAGCAGCAGCAGCAGCAGCACCTCACCCACTTGGCGGCAGCGGCGGCGGCGGCCCATCATCATCCGCACCACCCACAGGCAGCAGCGGCGGCGGCGGCGGCGGCAGCGGCAGCAGCGGCATCGGGATCCCTGCCGCCGGGCATGCTCCTGGCACTGGACTGCTCGCCGCTCCATCCCTGTCTATGCAGAATCTGGTAGCCCTGCTAGCCACACCCACCGCCCACAGCCACGCCCATGCCCACGCCCACGCCCACCATCCGCTGACCGCCATCGCCCATCACAGCCAGAGTAGCCAGAGCAGCAGCAGCGGGACAAGCAGCCTGCACCACCAGCGTCTGGCCTATGCCGCCGCCCAACAACATCAGCAGCCACCCCCATCGACGGCGGCCTTCAACATGTCGCAGCTGATGGCCACGCCCACCCAGCAGGTGGGCGGAGGTCAGCCGCTGACCTTGAACGCGCTGTGTAAGTAGATCATGAAGTCATAATTACCCTCAAAAAGAAAACAATAGCAGGAATGTTGCATCTTGAGAGAACTAGCTCTTTTAGCTACCTTTACCTTTACCTTTTGAAAAATATTACTTTATAATTGACATTATTGGAAATTTAAAATATATTTTAACATAATTTTGTTTAGAACATTCTTAAAATAAATTACAACATCCTACTTTCCTGCTCAAAAGTCCAAAAAAAGTTTTAAAAAACGTATTTTCAAGATGATATACATTCTTATATAATCAGAATAATAAATTAAAAATTCTTTCTACTTAATAATCAGTTACCGTAGTGGTTTTTCAATTAAAAATATATCCATAAATGAAAAACCTTTAACTAATATTAATTCCCTTTACTTTTAAGGTAATTACCTTTACTTTCTGTTCATTGAGTGTATCAACATGTATGTTTCGGGTACGGGTGATTGTGTTTGTGTATTTTGTAAATGTTTGTATGTGTTCTTTTGTTTTGTAATGTAATCAAACAGAGTTTTACCTCTGGCACTTAATCACACTAACTTAAATAATATAAGCTCCAATTATACAGCCTCCACGCAGCCTGCATGAGCCTATGACAGCGACCCGGCGTAACCTATCCCTAAATATCTAAAACTATGCAAATATTGGTCCTATATATACATATTTTTACAGTTTCAATAATATCCAAAAGAAGTAGTAAACAAATGTATATTTCCAAGATAATTATGCAGCTTAAACAAATACAACAAATTTCGATATACATTTTTGTTTCATCTTTGAATATTTTTACATAATAAACTCCCAAAAATAAACATTGAAACTAATATAAAACAAGACAGAAAAATAGCGATGGGAAGCCGAAGTTTATATACTGTTGCAGTTTGAACTTAAATTAAAGGATCTAATAGGAAATTGATCATAACAATGTTAAATTATTCGAATTTCTTGAATCGATGTTTATCAATATTTTTATAAGACAATTTTTTTACACAAATCAAAGTTTCAAAATATCATAACTAAGACAAAAAAGCATTAATTTCAATTCGGAATGCAGCCCTATGTTAGTTTTTATTAGATAAATAAGTCTGCACACTCAATTTAAAAAGTAAATTTTTTGCCAATTTTTCAAAATTTTAACGATGTTACCTCTTATCGTTTTTTCAAAAAAAAAACCGAAAAAAATGTAGCATTTTTTTTCAACCGACCATAGCTAGATCGACTCTCCTGTTGATGCTGATCAAGAATATATTTGATTTACTGGGCCGGAAATGACTCCTTCACATCGTTACAAGCTTCAATATAAATTTATGATAACCCTAAAAAGTTTCTGAAAATGCCAGAGCTCAATAGTGAATTAAATTCATGTGAATATTCACATCGTCATTTGTAGAATCCCCGTTGGCAATACCAACTTCAATTTCTATCTGAATATTTCTAATTTAAAATATTTTTGCCTTTTACTTTTGCATTTTTACAGTTCGTCCATCTTTGTAAATAAAAATAAAATGAATTATCGTAAAAAAGACAAAGCAAAAAGAATTTATAATAAAAATAGCAACTCTGAAAGGCAGTGTACGCGGAAAAGAATTAAATCTATGACAAAAGGAAATAAACGGCATTCCAAACAACACGTTCTTGATTGCATTTGAAAAAAAATTGAGTTTTTAATAAAACAAAATAGAAGAGAACAAGAATATGTATATTGCCACAACATTCCGCAGAGTCAGGCTCAGATTGGATATGCCATAGGCCGGGGCTTAATATTTACATGAAAGGAAAACTCGTATATTAAATATCTAGATATAGGGGAAAAGGGAAAGCAGGAATTTAAAGCTAAATAAATTCTAAGGAAATTAAAAAGAAGAGAGGATTTCTAATAAGGTTTGATATAAACTAATAAAATGAATAAAATATATTTAATGGTGGTAAATCAAATGTGTATTTTTTGTAAAAACCAAATACCAATTAAATGTGAAAAATAACTTTTCATATAATTGAAATAAAATACCAAAAGTGGATTCAATAAATTTCCAAACATTTTCGACATTCACTATGCCAATTAGCTTTTCAATTAGCAACTTTTATGGATTCCCCAAAACATTAAATTAATTTCCTTCTAACACTTGCATACATTCATGCCAAATTGTTGGCATACAAAAAAAATGGACCCAACAAATTTTACAAACACAATAAAAAGAAAAATATTAAATATAAAGCAGTCAAAGAAAACAAAGGGAAAACTAAAAGAAAGTAATAAATTTATAGTAGATTATGAAAAAAAAACACAGCGGAAGCGGGAAAAACGAAAATGTTTGCTGGCTCAATTAAAAAACAGGCGCCATGCGGAGAGACCAAACAACAAAGGCTAACAACATTTTTTTCCCCAGGATACAGAAGCAAAATAAAAAGGAAGTACAAAATTTAATAATGAAAGGACGAGGGCCACAAAAAAAAAAAGATAAAAGAAGGCATAAAACGGTTGAGCACAAAGTGTGAAAAAAAGGACGACTAAAAATCATAATAAATAAAGGACCGAAATCTCATATGCGTTAACTCAACTTGGGTTCGTTTATTGTTCAGATATGGTTCTTGTTTATGGTTGATTCTATATTTTTCTCTGTATCCTGTTGTCCTGTGTGTGCTTTGTCCTGTTTCTGAGTGTCTGTGTGTTTGTATGTATGTTTGGGTAATTTGTTTCTTTAGAAAAAATACAAATACAAATTTTAAGTATTATTTGAGAATATTTTTCAACTAATTAAATTTAATAATTTTGGGTGAATATTACTGATAGTTTTGTCTGTACATTTTTTAGGGCCCCCCAGTGCCGCTGATCCTTATACCCCCTCCCTGAGTGGTCTGACTAATGGAGCCGCCGCCTATGGAGCCGCCCAGCCCCTGACTGCCAGCGCCCTTCAAGCGGCAGCAGCGGGTGTGGCAGGCAAACAAATTGAGGGTGAGTTTTTAAGTGAAAAATATTTCATTAAATATTTATATTAATTTACTTTATATGTATTCTTTAACCAGGTCCCGATGGCAGCAACCTCTTCATTTATCACCTACCTCAGGAGTTCATTGACACGGATCTCGCATCGACATTTCTGCCCTTTGGCAATGTCCTGTCGGCCAAGGTGTTCATCGATAAGCAGACCAACCTGTCCAAGTGCTTCGGCTTCGTCTCCTACGACAATCCGCACTCGGCCAATGCGGCCATACAGGCGATGCATGGCTTTCAGATCGGCACCAAGCGCCTGAAGGTCCAACTGAAACGTTCCAAGGATGCGGCCAAGCCGTACTAGCCGCTAAGGTGGCCCAAAGGGGAGTGGCCTAGGTCCCACAGTCACAAATAATTCACAAAATAGACCATGGATGAAACTAGCTTAAACAAATTGTGCCTTTATTTTAGCAGCAAACGTTCTGAAACCAAAGGACCAATTACAAAAAAACTTGTATCTGATAAGTAAATAGAAACCTAATGCAAAATAGAAATCAAAAGAAGGCTTACAAGTAAAGTTCTCGAGTGCACAACAAAAATGAACCCTTAACCAAAGAAGTAGCTTAAAAGTTGCATCCTTGTTGTAATCACATTTGCTGAAACCACCAACCATCAACCATTTTTCATCAAGTCCTAATCTAAACTAATCAACGTGGTCGGCAAACAAATCCTAAACAAGAAAAAACCAAAATAAAATCCAGAAATTTTGAAGCTGCCGTGTGTGTGTGGCGCCAAAGTATTTATCAAAGCCAAATAGTTAAGCAAGCAAATAAACAATAATAAAATAAAAAGGGAAACAAAAAAGGAACACAACAAAATGTAGACGAAAATAGAAATTTATATATTTTGCACACACGAAACAATTTAGAGAATTAATATTTAGTTAAGTGATAAGGTAATAAATATAAATACAAAACAAACAAAAAACATTCGAAATTCCGTTCGTAGTGAGAGAAACATTCAAAGGGTTAGCTAAAAATAAAAGAAAACTAATTAAAACAGGTAGAAACACCTGCAAAAGAACACCTAAGATGCGAAATATCGTAAAAATGTAACTAGTAGTTTTTAGCTAAATCAATATGAAGCTTATTTTAAAAGTCACAAAAGAGAATGTTAACTCTGGCATCGCTTCTTTATCCTTACATCAAATCTATCTATTTTATATAGTCATTAATAGTTTTAAACTATATATTCTATCCAAACTTAACAGCAATTTGATTTCAAAGCAAAAAACCACACATTTTATCAAACTTTGTACTTAATTTGCACTTGATGTCATGGAATGGAATAAAAGTCAAACAAATTTAAAATGTAAACCATTTAGTATGTATTTTAAAATAACATTTTATTGAGCGGTGTGTAAGAAATTGAAGACAATGAATCGGTTTCACATATTTACAAATAAAATATTAAATATTTTTAAAAATATATGTGAATGTATTATTACTTTGTTTTGGTTAAAATTGAATACACATTTTTGCAGAATTAAAAATTCCACGAATAACATTTCTGAAGGCCTTTTCTATGATATAGAAGGACAACATCCATCTCGGACTGTAAAAGAAAAAAAAGACTTAAAGAAAGTACCTTTCATCCCGATGGCAGTCGAGTCCTTCGCAGGACTCCCAGAATTCGCTCGTTGAGAGGGATCTTATCACATTTATGCTATTGTACATGCATTCTTTATGCGCCAACTGACAACTCAACTGGCGCTGATAGCTGCAACGCTAGGAGGAGGTGGACCACCCAACAAGGACTGCCATAAATCAAAAGCATCCTGCACTGGCTGGCACTCCTCCTGATACTCCTACTCCTACTTCTGCTCCTCCTCCAACGAATCCGCTCCTGGGTTGCAATTCAAATGTTGGCGTTAACGCATGAAATATGCATATGCACGGCGTCGCCGAATGTGCAGCTGTTGTCTGGATCTTGCTTTTTTCCAGGTGCTGCCATTGGCCAGTGTTGCCATCAATGGACGGACTAGTGCTAAATTTTTAAATTTGAAAAAAATATTTGAAAAACTGTAAGGAAAATGTTGAAATTTCAATAGGATCGAAGCATACAAACGGCTATCCTAGTAGAAGCTTCACAAACTTTATAATAAACCTGCTGAACTTGCCTTCTTAGGCGGGTTATAATATATATAAAATATACATTTTATATTTGATATTTTTGTATTTAGAAATGTGAAATTAAAAAACAATAATCTAGCCCATAAAAATATAAAAATCTCTTTGAAATATATATTATTCAAATTGAAATCTCCTCAAAAATAACCTGAAAAGTAAAACTCACTATCTTTTTATTTCATTAAATACAAAGTCTAAAGTTTTATTATATTTCATTCAATTTATTTTTAATTGTTATATCCCCATAAAAACCTTCAACATTTAGGTACAAAATAAAGCCAAGTAGACAACACTTTACTCTACCTCAACTTTTGGTCCAGGGTAGCATTCTTTAAACTTCAAGATACGTGTGCCTGTCGTTGGGGTCAGTTCACAACATTTTTCAGTCTGAAGCTGACTTTTCTCCTGGAAATTCTATATATATATATTCTGTACTTTGTGTGTTGAAACAAACAAGAAAAACCTCTTGAAAATGTCGCACAAGGGTCAAGGTGAGAAGCCATCGGGGGGCCACCAGTGCCTCCTCCGCCGCGCAGGCATCGACCTGCGGTTCCTTCGACTCCAACTTCGGGCAATGTGACTCCGGCTTCCGGTCCTCCGCCACCTATGGTTGCAAGACGCAGTGTGGAACCACCGACCACCTCTAGCAGGATCACTCGCCACGTCTCACCTTCTACAATTGGTCATGTAGCTCCATCGCCAAGGAAATCTACTGGTCCAGGATCATTTGCAACTGGTAAGGGTATGCCCGATTCGGCTCCTCTGTCAACCAGAAGGTCAAGTATGCCTGAGGCTGGACCCACGCCCATATCACAGCCTTTAAGTGATTCCACAACAGTTCCGGGAACAAAGTCAATACAAAGAGTAACTGTTCGAGGTGCTCATACGCCTCCTGCTGGTATTACTTTGAAAACGGAGCCCTATTCTGGCCAAAATCATCATCGCCTGCCAGGGCTTTGGGATCTTCACAAGCAACAATTCGAGATACCAGCGATAGACCATCGACATCGGCCCGGGTACCACAATCTAGCCTACGGATTTCACAGCCAACGCCCTCGGCACAGATGGCCACCGGTATTGGAACTACCTCGCCCCGGGTTACGATTCAAGAGGCAGGAACATCGACATCTCGTGAGGGTTTGAAAATGGCTGCTGCCAAGGCCAAGGCCATTGAGGCCAGGACCAATGATACCAATACCAATGATACCAAGACCAAGGTTAGTCTGAAGCAGCGTCTCTTTGGTAAAAAGCCAACGGAGACGCGTAGGCCACCGTCACCAACTTCAACTCGGAGGGCGAGACGACCCCCAGCTTCTGCCCAGAACAGGGCCAAGGCGGGTCGCATCCTTTATACCACCGAAGAGGAAGTGCGCGATGCCCTCATCGAGTTCACTGTGTTTATAATATTCCTGATTCTAACATCTCTAGGTAAGTGGAAAATTCTGAGAATATAAAATAAGATATTTCAAATTGGAAGAACTTCCTTAAATTGTTCAGTTTAGTTTTCATACATCTTAAATCAATATTTTATTAAGTAGATTAATTCAACATTATATTACATACCAGTAACTCTATCGGTACGCCACTCGTACATGTTCTATTTCAACGACACAATGAAGAAGCTCTTCACTACCCGTGATCTGGTGATTGCTCCCTCGGTCACTGTTAACTTTGAAAAGCAAATCACAGTGCCGGATTGGTGGGACTATTTGATTTACAACTTTCTAATAACACTCCATGGTGACTTGACCTTAATGGATGGACGTACTGATGATAATGCAACGAATACCGGTCAGGGCAGTTCGACAACAGTACCACCTGATGATCTGGAATCAAGAAGTTTAAATGAACTTCCGCAAGAAGAGCCACCTTCGGGGAACAGAGTAATGGAGAGTTCCCGGAGCAACCCAGGATATCACTGGGATCCCGGTGTGGAGTCAAAGACAAATGACAGGATGAAACGACAAGATGAGGAGCAAACGCCATTGCCAATAGGTTCGATACCGGTACTAAAACCGACCTATGATCATCACAATAAACCCCATGTTATGAATCGTAATACATCTGTCCACCATTTGGAGGTATCAAATATAAAATTTTTTTATCATATTTAATGATATCATTGTTTTTTCTAGGGACGTGTCTTTCTGTACGAGAACCTGCTGCTGGGTCCTCCCCGAATCCGGCAAGTCCGTGTGCGAAAGGAGAGCTGCTATGTGAACGATGCCTTTATTCGATACTTTAATAGCTGCTATGCAGCCTACTCTCGATCAGCCGAGGATAAGACAAATTTCCAGGGAATATCATATCGAACCATGTCCTTCCTGAATACTATGCCACTCTGGACAGTGCTGGCTTTCTATCGAACAGGGGATATGTGGTTGATTTGACCTATGTGAAGGACGAAAATCTGGCTATCATCACAGATTTGAAAAACAGTCATTGGCTTGACCGAGGTCTCGTCTCTGTCTGGTGGAATTCAATTTATTTAACGATAATACGGATATTTTTCAAAGCATCAAGTGGGTTTCGCCGGATTCTTAGAAGCCCCTTTCTTGATATTACTAATGTTTTCATAGATTAATTGCGGAGATTCCTCCCACGGGTGGGGTCATTCCCCAGGCCCATTTTCAGACGGTGAAACAGCATACGTTCTTTACGGATCGCAGCATGGTGATGACAGTAGTCTATATATTCTGGTACATTATGGTTGTATACTACACCATTTACGAAATAACTGAAATACGCAAATCTGGCTTTAAAAACTATATATTTTCCATTATGAATATGCTCGATTGTATTATATTGCTGGTAAGGAGTTTTTACTATTTCCTTGTATTACATTTGTATTAAATATCCTTTTTATTTAGTTATGTTATCTAGCTTTGGTGTACAACATTTGGCATAGTTTAAAGGTACACTCGATTACCACCAAGGCCATGACAGACTTTAATTATATAAGTTTGGACGTACTCTGTTTTTGGAATATATCTATGTGGATATGATGGCCATTCTGGCCTTTCTCGTATGGATTAAAATATTCAAGTTTATCAGTTTCAATAAGACTCTTGTGCAGTTTACAACGACTCTTAAAAGGGTTTGTAAAATGAATCAAAATGGCATCCAAATATCACCTTTGTAATCTTTGAATTTACAGTGTTCAAAGACTTGGCTGGCTTTAGTCTTATGTTTGGCATTGTGTTTTTGGCCTATGCCCAGTTGGGTTTACTTTTATTTGGCACCAAACATCCAGATTTTCGCAATTTCATTACCTCAATTTTGACCATGATTAGGATGATTTTGGGCGATTTTCAGTACAATCTTATTGAGCAAGCAAATCGAGTTTTGGGTCCCATTTATTTCCTCACCTATATTTTGCTTGTGTTCTTCATTTTGTTGGTGAGATTAATGATTGGTTTATCTTCTTTATCATTTTATTATATTTTTTTATACCAGAACATGTTCCTTGCCATTATAATGGAGACATATAACACGGTGAAGAGTGAGATCACCCAGGGAAGCAGTCAGTTGGGATCGTATATCTATAAAAAAGCATTGAGTATACTTTACATAATCATTCACTGCGGCCGGAAGCGCCGAAATAATCAGGAACGTACAGCGGAAGTTGAGGCAGAAGCCAAAGTCGCCGAGGAGGAACCTGAGGTGATGAACAAGAACTTGACAGCAACAGAGTAAGTCCTCATAGATCCTTTTCTTCTGTTGACTAACTAAATGTTTATACTTTAGGGCTCGTTACTTCCAGGAAGTTCCACCAGGAGAAGATAAAGAGCTTTTCCGGTAGTCATTTCTTTCTTATTACATTAATTTTACACATTTTTGTTTATTATATTAACCATTTCAGTTTAAATAATCGCGTGAGTCTGCTTGAGGAAATTCTGGAGAAATTGGTCACCAATATGGATGAAATTCTAAAGCGCGTTGAGCAGGAGAGAAGCCACAGAAAGAAATAAGTCATGTTACAATAATTCTATTAAGTTATTTAATTTAAATGTTTAATTTTTTTATACCTTCATATATACAAATAAAACATCAGAAATGTGGCAAGAATAAATTAGCCATTCCTTATATAAACATACTCATTGTGCCACGCCAACAATCAAATAAGCGAAAATTAATTAACTTCAACTCTGGCAACCGGAAACTAAAGTAAACCCACAAAAACCGCCATAACCGAGCGCTAATCTCTGCCAAATCTCTGTTTGCTTGCCACCCTTAACCCCCTAATGCCCCTGATTTCTGCTGTTGCTACTGCTCAACACCCGATGCGTCCTTTTCTCCATTTTGGCAACAAAGGATAATGAAATTAAAAAACACAAGCGGAAGCAACAACCGTGAACAAAGCGTCGAGCCACGAATTAAACTATGTATTTAGTTATAACCGAAAGGCAGGGAATGCTACACTGGAAAGAAAATATTGAAAATATACTTGGAAGAAAAAAAGAAACAAAAGGGTGAAAGTTTTGAATAAATTAATAAAATATAATAAAAATGGAAGTTTACAAGGGGTATAGCTTATTAAATGACTAGAAACTATGATACTAAATAATACATTTATTTAAAGATTAAGATTTTATTGAAATTATATTTGTTTAAACAAATTTTATACAAATTTAATATGATTTGTAATATTTAATTAATTTTACCTTAACATTTGCTGTGCACTTTGTGAGAGCAAAGACTTGTGGCATCATTAAAGCAGGTCCTGTGGAATATATCACGTTGTCACCTCAAAGCATCTGGAACGCTGTGGTTGCGGCAAACAGAAGCTTAAATTAAGTCAGTGGACGTGAAAATATTTCAAAGAAAAGCTAAATTATATTTTCTACAAACAATAATAATATTTGGCATTAGAATATATATGTTATCAGATATAAAGGTACAATTAAACTCCATAAATAATAATTAAAAGCAAGTAAATGCACCATCTGCCAAACGATAACCGGAAAAGATAACTCACCCGTGTATGGGCATTTCCCAATTAATTATTTAATGTCCGATAAAGTTTGACCAAAGCTCGGCTTAAGTGGTTTGATGAAAAGCAACATCCGCAGTCTGAGGGATTTCGTTTTGTTTGCAGCACAAATTTGTTAAACCGAACGCAGGCCACAGACATATATATAGTACATATAAATCTGTATAGCGGCATTTGTATGGCTCGCATTGTTTCGCTTTTGTAAATACGAATTGAAAAGTTGCAATCATTGCAACCGACCAAAGCAAACACACACAAAAGGGCTCTGCCTGGGGATGGGAAATAAAGGCATGCTACAGACAGGTGGGAGAGGAGAGCTCTTGAAGCAAGAGAAGAATTACGTATGGAGAGCTCAGGAGCCATAATTACCGATATGCTTTATACCCGCAAACAGTTAACAACCTTTATTCGCCAGATAAATGGAATGGTGATAGCAACTCTGGATGCAATGTGCAAATATGTTGGCCACTTATGCATTCAATGGGCTTGCATGCAGGCCAAAAAGCAATGAGATTTAACCAACAACAAATTTAAGCGTAAATAAAACGCAATAAACAAATTAAATGTCTTTAAATTACTGAAAATGTTATGTAGATAGAGATTTCTTAAAGCACTTGGATTAATTTAACCAAAAGTTCCAGAAAAATACAAATTTCCATTAGTTTTCTGTAATAAACACGTTATTATAACATCCAAATAAAACCACAAAACTCTATTATTATTATCAAATGTATTAATGAATTTTACCTTTTTTTGCCAACATAAAAATATGTTAATAAATATAGACCCTTTATAATTTTTTCACAAGCAACAGGCTTTGGCCTATTCAACATGCAACCAATAATTCATCAATTAATACGCTTTTATAGCCAAGGTTTTGTTTGACAAAAGAATAACAGGCAATTAAGTTAACCATAAGTTGACCACAATTAATTACCCCAAAGTATGGCATGGAAAAAAATAATTAACTATGCGTTTTTTTATAATATTTTTTAATCGCACCGAGAACTAATGAGGCATATAATGCCTATGAAGCATTTTCTGTTCACATTCAATTTAAATCACTAACGAAATATCGCATTTAAATAAGAACATATTCAGCCTGAAATATGCAGCACTTTGGTTAATGCACTCAAAGCCCTCAGCGAATGGGGTTAATAATTTACTTTATTTAAAAATAAATCAAGGCATCCATCCAGGAGATGAATCAATCTGCTGATCTTAATTATGTGAATTGATTGATAAAAAAAAGTTGATAAATAGATTTATACAAAAAGACTAAAACAATTACGGTTTAAGGCATAAAAAATATATTTCTAAGGCTGGTAAAATAATATTTATACTTTTTTTATTATAAATACTATTTTTCTATTATTGTTTTGTATTATATTTCATGAACTCCCTTTTGCCTTGTTCATAACCTTTTTTATGTTTTCTATTAGTTTATAAAAGCATGAAGCCTCTTTTTTACTCCATCAAATGTTCCTAACAATACCACAAGCCATTTATTGAGTTTTTTATATATTTTATTTATAATTAAATTTTTTGTTTTTTATCAATAAATAATTTCCAATGCAACTGTGTTTGTGCACATTTAATACTTGCCATCTGTCGAAATAATACGATACATTATGATTGTTTAAATTAAAAGAAAATACCGATTTTCTTGGATCTCTCAGAGATATCCCCGATGACGTTGACTTACAACTAGAGACTTAGGACTAAAGACACTGCCTAGACTAGATGTGGATCCTGGGAAAGGTCCTCACTTGGAGGGCTCTGATAATGAGAGCTTCTCGAACATCGGCATGGCTTTAATGAGTGTTGGTGGGGCAAATACCTCGGCATCGGGATTATGCGGAAAATCGGGATCGCGGCTGCCAAATCATTCACCGCAATATCATTGGACAGATCGACAGGGACAAAGTTCTCCTCGATATCGATATCGTTGTTTAGATCGTTTTCGAAATCTCCTTCTATTCCACCTCGTGATCCTGATCCTGACCATGATCCTGATCGAACTCAGCCCACTCTTCGTCAAAGGTTTCGCTCATTACTATGGGTGTAGTGGTTTCAGCATCTTCATCATCTGAGGAATCGAACTCTTCACGATCTTTATGCTTCATCATCTCCATGGATTCCTTTTCCTGGTGATTCTGCTCGTGGTGTTCCTGTTCCTGGTGCTCCTGTTCCTGGGCTTCCTGTTCCTGGCGCTCCTTTTCCAGTGCCTCCGTCCTTTCCAATTCCTCTCGGGCGAATGCCATCATTTGCTGCAACTGATCCATGGGCTTGCTATGTTGTTGAACCACTATATCTTCACTGATGTCTGTGGCTTCCGATTCGGAATCTTCAGGTAATCTGGTGGCAAGTTTGGTTGTTGTAGAGTCTACGGTTGTCGGTGTTGTTGTTGTGGTTGTATAGACTGTGCGAGGTGTGTGTATTGCGAGTGTATGAATTGCAGGTGCATAATGTGTGCGTGGGTGCGAAATAAATGGAATAAAATTTGTAATTAATTTATTGTGATTTATTATATAGCCAATTGGGTTTGTTTAGTTATTTTCCATTATATAAGCAGCATGCTGATTTTTAATTAAATAATTTGTTAATAAATTATTTTAAAAGGTTGGTTTTTTCTGTAGTTCACAAAACATTGTTATTAGATTAGATATTATGAATTAATTTAATTACATTTATTGCTTAGCTTTTTAGTTTTATTTTTATACTCTTAATAATATCTTAAATAAACGATGAATTCCTTTAAAATGATCTATAACTACGTTTTTATTTAATAACAAAATCACACCATAAAAGAAACTCACAATTTGCGCCTCGCCTTCAATTCTTCAACTGAGCTGCTGTTAAGTTAAGCTTTCTATTTTATAACATTTATAAATAAAATCACAGAAAGAGAGGTACAGCTTAACAGAACTACAAGCTGAGTCAGCTTATCAGAAAAGCCTCCCAAGGCGGAGAGAAAGAAACAGAAAGAGCCACCTAAAAGCAAAGCTTACAGAACTTAACAGAGATAATGTCTCACACTGTTAACCCCCTCTCTCCCGGTCTTAGCTTTATCTCATTCTGTCTTATTTTGCATAACGCCTTCATTCATTAATAACATTTAACATGCAGTGCCGACACTCATGATTCACCTTCGCTAATGCCCTCTCCCTCGCTCCTGTTAGGGCTATGTGACGTCACTAGTTCAAGTCTTCCCCCTCATCGATTTTTGTCCAATTCCGTTTTACGCTCATTAGCAATTTCTAAGAAATTCATATTATTAATACACCAAGTTTTTACACATTTTTTTATTTCTGTCCGTTTGTGATCACTCAAGTATTTGTTGTTTTACTCACCGGAAGAATTGAAAATGAGAAGAAAAGAAACTGAGGCAATGGGCTACACATTCACAGATGAATGGCGCTACGACTGAGTCACGATTTTTGAGATTCTGGGGAATTTCTTAAGAAATTCAAATTCATTCTGCCTCAGAGATGATGGATAAGATGCTACAGTTTCTCCAAATATGGTTAATTATTTCTGGACCGTAAATAAATAATATTTTTAATGATTTGTTTATTGTAAACAATATTACTTTAATACTTTGTTGTCATAATTATGGTTTGGTTTCTTTTTAAATTCCATTTATATTTTAGGTATAAGTCTGACACTGTTTAAATCATAATATTCAGTTATATTATTTTACAATTAGCATCCCGATCTTTATAGATCAAACAATCTTAAAACTCTCTATAATTCCTATGAACATTAAATTCAATAAAACAAATTGAAGCTGAAACTCTTGTTTCATAATTTTATTAATATCTTTCATTTCATAAATTGAAAATTTTCCAACCTTTTTCTTCTCGACCATTAAATTGAAATGCAAATTGCAAGTGCACAAAGTAATTTGTGAAAAGTTATCAAAAGCTCACACATTCATGTGAATGTGAATTATGTGCATTTGTCTGGATATTTTTGTGCTTTTTAATAGGAAAATATTAATAAAACACACAGTCGTCTGCCCCGCCAGAGTATGTTTGCCATTATGGCAATGCGTTTTTCAAAGAGCTTCAATCGCCAAATTGTTTAACAGCCTTCAACAGTTTTTCAATGTTTCGATGCAGCTGCCAAAGGAGTTATCGCACACACTCCCTTCCGTGTGTGTGTATATATATTAATATTTATAACCATGAATATTAAATTCAAATAAACGCATGAGAAGTCACTCCCACCCCCTTACATCCCTCGATCCCAAAAACAGAAGCCACAACTTTCAATATCCGCGCGAGATGAAAAATAAAGTTGAACAGCAAAAAAAAAAATAACATTAAAATGAAAATATAACAACAAATCGAATGAAATTCGCAACTTGTGCGAATAGTTCATTTTGTTTTTTTTTTTTTTGTTTTTGCACCCGCCATTTAATATTTCTTTTTGCTTCCGTTGCGGGTACAGAAATGTCACCGCTGGCATTATTTAAATTTAAATTTGCGTATTTAAACGTTGACATGTCACTTACAACTTTAAAGTTGTTAATAATGGCGCTTTACGCAGCATTGCAGTTTTTTTTTATGGTCATTTATTAATTTCCCGCTGATTTATGCGGCTCGCGGAGAGCAACAAAAAATTTATCCAACCGGCACTCGTCGATTTCGCCACAATAAATTCTCATAAATACGTCCCTTTTCCGACCCCACCTGCCACGCCCAGCACACGCCCAAGACGAGGATTTATGCGAGCTGGTCGCATGACTTTTAATAAAAATTAATTTTTATTACAGCCTAAAAGTAATTAATGGACTGCAGCAAAAAACGCCAAGAAAAATTGTCGCATATGATGCATGTATAAGGGTAACCTGTGGAACCGATTGGTCAAAGGGGAAGGGTCCTGGGGGCAGGATATCATTTTTAAAGTCCAAAAAACGGTGAAAAAAAATAGAAGGTGTCATTTTAAAGAGGAAGTTTGTAAAGTAATATGGTAAGTATAATTGATTAATAAGAATTATTCGAGAACAGACTAAATAGAAATCTGCGTATTACTTGATCTAGTTTTAAGCCAAATATGTTTATTTTTAGTAGTGGCAAGACAAGTTTTAAATGAAGTAGTTATATAATAAATATTGTCTGAAATATATATATAATTGATTTACCTATCAGTGGGATTTGTTAAGCTTTTCAAAACACTTTAATTAAAAACTTGTCACTGCCTTTTTACAATCTAAATTGTATAATGATCTGCCCTTCTATAATAAATATTCCCTTTTACAAAACATGTTATAATTATTTAATATGAAACTCAAATACCTTAACTAAAATAAATCATTTCATTTGTAACTAAAAAATAATTGATTCCAAAAAGATTTTATGCAAATGCAATTTTCTTGCTTAAATTTACTTAAATACTTCCTTTTATACTAAAATCAACTCATTTTATATGGTTAAACTAAAAAAATTTATACATAAATAATAAAAATTCTCATTAAAATTCATCTTTGTCCTAAATAAACCATATTTAAAAAATAAACTCTAAAAAAATAACTTTTAATTACCAGCTTAGTGAGCTTTAACTTTGTCATGTCAACTCATAAATTTATCTGTCAATTACAGAGTTCCACAAATATATGTATCACTCTCATCGCATTACCATTTTTTACTTATCTATATATTTGCATAATATTTTGTTACAACCATTTTTTTTTACTCTTTTCTTTGTGGCCACAAACTATAATTTGTTTGCATTATTAATTTAGATGCAATGCAATTGCAAACAAAAAAATAAAATTACTCACAAATCCAATGAACCAATATGCATATTACATGACTGCAATGCTGATAAAAAAAACCGGTGAAAAATCATCTAATTGTACAATTAAACATTTTGTCGTGTTAATAAAATATTTACAATTGTGGTTGGACCAGATTATTGGCCTGACAAATTAGCAAAACTTAATTAAACAGCAAATGTTACTGAAAAAAAGTTTTAAATTAAAAATAAAATACGTAGAAACTAACAAGCAAAAGCTATATACAACAGAAGTAAATAAAAAATAAAAGCAAACCACACCAAAAAACAATTCACCAAAAAGATTTAATTTTATTTGCATTAGTAAGGGAAATAACGCAGGCATTCATATATACATTGTTTGCTGTTTAGTTTTATGCAAAACTTTATTTAAAAAATATTAGAAATATCTGTGTATAGGTATGTTACAAGTTTATAGAAAGTTCTCAATATACAATTCGGTTTTCTTTTTTTTATATATATATTGGTTAGTAGAGCGCTTGCCAAGCTTTTCCTCGTTAAATTTTTTCCGAGAAAGTTAGTGTGTCTTTCTCTGGAAATTACTTTTATACCTTGGCTCATCGATATCGCGCACCTCGTTATCCTTGGGCTGCTTCTCCAGTGGCTCCCGGCGACCATCCTCCTCCACCTCATCATCGAACTCCCCCTGTCCCGCGGACTTGGCTGGCGGTGGAGCCGATGTGGCAGGTCCCTTGGCCGGCTGGAAGCCACCACCATTGGTGTGCACACCCTCGGCCACCTCCTCGCCACTGTCCAGGGGTCTTACATTAACGACGCGCACCTTGAACACGCTGTTGGTGTTGCCAAACACGGTCTCATTGATCTCCACCTTGTGGCCATCCACAACCTGGGTTAAAAAAGTGGCTTATTTACTTGGGAAATGTATATTAATGTTTTAAATAAAAATATGTATAGTAATGAGTTTTAAAATAGTTTTAAACTTAGTTTTTTGATCCCTTCTATGTCATACCTTTACGGTAGAAGTGGTATTACCATCCTTGGGATTCAATGGGTCAAAGGCAAACCAAGCGAGAACCAGATCCAAGGCCAACACTGGATTCATCAGAATCATCGGCTGCTCCATCATCAGCGGAATCAGTACCAATCACTGGCCAGAGGCGGGTGCGGAGACGACGGAAAAGGTCTAGTAAATAATATATATAATAAAATTATTGATTAAAGACGTAATTAAATATTATTATAATTAAAATTTATTCTCCCTTTCTCTGCCTCTCTCTCTTACTCTCTAACATATTGGTATGGCCATCTCTCTCTGTGTATCTAGAGGCATCTTTTCTCTCTGTTTCTCTATGCGTATCTGCAGAGAATCTCTTTCTCTATCACCTCTCTCTCTCACTTTCTCTGCTCTCTTTGCTCGGAGACTATAAATACAGGGCCCTAGCAGCGCTCTGGCCCATTCTGTTCACGGCCTTCCTAGTGTAAACATCTGTGGTGATAGTGATAGTGATTACCCTTCGACACTGACCAATGCGATATATCCAGCTAACAGGAAGAAGCTTATTTTAAGATATTATGAATTGAATGAGCCTTAGTTATGAGATTATGATATGATATGATATTAAAATATGGTAAATAACGATTCAAAGATTGGAATATGTTAGTTTAAAATGGCCGATTCAATTGTAAACTGATGTGTTATAAAAACTTCTGCTTCTTAAAATTTGTTTTCTTTCTTGTTAACGAAGGAATTATATTCCATATTTAATATGGAACAACATAATTTTATAACAAATTTTTTTATAAGACAGGCATAATTACTTTGCATTACATTATCCTTACATCCTTTTCTTAACTTGCATTTTTTCCCTCAAAATTTAAAAAACCTAAGAAAGTAATCTCGAGTGCCCTGTGGGAATTGCAGCAGGTGTCCGTGGTCTAGACTCCCAGACTCGTCTGGCAATTTTCCTTGCCTTTTTTATATATTTTCTAGAGTCTTTGCCAAAGGAGAGACATTCCATCGTCGTCGGTGGCGGCGGCATCGTTGTCTCATGCTAATGTATTTTTCAGTTTGGAAAATCCCTAATCCGCAAACGCACTAAAAAGCGTTTTCTGTGTCGCCGCACCCGGGTCTCTGTCATTTTCTTGTCTGCACTTTTGTAATCTTCAGCGCCGGATTGCAGTCCCACTTTCGTTACTCGGTCCCAATATGCCACGGTTCTTGGCCGGGGGTTTTTTCCCTGGTCTCTTTAACCTTGTCATAAATTCTTGACCGCATTGTTGGCGGACTTTGTTTTGGCCCGGTTGTTGATTTGTCGTTTATGCCGACTGCATTTTAATGCGTTTAAATAGCTGCGTGAAATAGTTTACTGCTTTGAGTTGTACAGTACATATTGCCTAAATTCAACACCACTTCTTTGTAAGTTGTTCTATTAATCAAAATATTTTTATCGCTTCTCCTATTTTCATTAGGATTAACCAAGAGATTTCTTAGCGCCTTCCGTCTTTGTGGTTTTTTCCGAACAAACATAATTCGCCGACAAGAAACTTTAGCTGGAAACGCTCAACTTTCTATTTGTCTATTTGCTATTTTCTACGCTTCGTTATCTCGTTGAACCCCAGACCCTCTAAAAACAGGACAAAGAAGAATAAAACAACTTTTATGCATACACAATGCCCTGGGCTTTGGGAAGTTTTTATCCCCCTCTCGAACGTATTAGGATAAGATTTATGAAGTTTCGGCTTCATCTTCGTCATCATCTGCAACGTCTTACGGTCTTAGTTAAGCAGAAATTGGCAAGATGAGGCGCAAAACTTTTCACTTTTAATGGTCAACAGACCGGTTTGACCTACTCCTACTCTCTCTCGTTCCATAGAAATATATAGAAATAAATACAAGGAGCATAAATAAACTTTGTCTGGCTACAAGAACTTGACATAATATTTTGATAAATTGTTTTTCATTTCACTGGCAAAGCGTGGGTGTAGTCTGAAACCGAGATGGAAAAGTTTAAAAAGACCCAAAGGACAGTTGGCTAATTGGCCTGACCCAGAGGATATGCATTTATTCATTTCTATCAACAAATACGGGTCAAACTTAAGCTAACAATGCTTTTCGTATTATTTATTTTAAAGAAAAATGGGCTAATAGTTGACTATTTATTTTCACCTTAAGCTCTGCCACAAACTCTTGTTTTAGTATAAAATATAAAACTTTCTCTATAATAAAATGTTGAAAAAGTAAATTAATTTTAAATATTTATATGTTAAACATCCATTAAATGCATAACATTTACTTTAACCCTCAATTTGCTCTTAAAAACATAATTTCCCCTCATAAGTTACCAAAATATTAAGTATACGCAGTGTGGCAATCGTTCGATCATCGTTAAACAGAATAATAATAATGAAATTAAATGCACCCGAGACATGTAATTACGTTGCATGCAACTACACTACAATATTGTTTAATTAAAATATCATTAAAAATGCTCAAGCCGATTATGCCACATATCACGCATACGCCGCATGTGCCGCATGTGCGCAACTTACCATCGAAGGAATCGAAGAAGCCGAGATTGAAGCCCGAAGGATTCGGCTGGAGGAAGGGATAACCCGATCCCGTATCGATGACGCCACGGAAGTTATGGAAATCCGATTCGGTTTGGGGGCGCGATGGCACGTTAATCACCTCGGCATCGTCCTGCGGATTGCTGCCAGCTGGAAAAAGGGTAAGAAAGAAAAAAACCAAAAAGGATAAAGAATGAGAAAAAGGTTTCAGCTGAAATTAAGCACTGTTTGTCATCATTAAGAGCCAAATTGGCTGGCGAAAATTGCATTAAATTAGCCAAATCAGCGGAAAAGGAAGAGCTCCTTGCGGCGACCCCATTTTTCAGTGCCTCATTAACGCTGATTACGCAATCTTAGCTTTTGCATAATTATCCATTATCTTATATTTCAGAAAAAAAGGGGTTAAGCTTTGCTGGGAGTAAACATTTCACATTGATTTGAATATAAATTCTTGCAGGAATTCTTTTCAGGAAACGAGGCAAGGCTTTATCTAGAGCCACTAAATAACGCATCCTTCGCTAGGATGCAGGATTCAGGGCTGCTGGCTGCAGATAAATCCTCCTCCTTCACCTCCCTCTCAATCTTTTTCCCTCTCAATCTTTAGTCCTGGCATGTTGCACTTCATAAATCCCAGCAGCTGACACTGACACCAACAAACAGGCAAAAACATCGCAAACACAACCGTCAGACAACAAGTGGCCAGAGGGAGTGCAAATAACACAAATCAGTTGGGGTAACAGGACTAGGACTAGGAAGATATCCTGCACACGAAGGACCAAGGAAAATCTAAAATAAAATTATAGTTAGTTATATAAATAACTAAATAATTTAATCATCATTCGATCATATTTTTATTCAGAAATTGTTGTGGTTTATATTTTCAGTTTTCAATATTTTACTGATACATTTCTCTGCTAAATCCCATATACCCTTTATTCTGAAAGACTTGCCCCCGTAACTAACGACGTTAAAAATAAGTCAAGCTGCATTGACCCTCCTCCGGATATCTCGCCGGAGTAGAGTTCTCCTCCTGTTGAACCGAAATGGAAAATATGAAAAAGCTTTATGTGCTGCGTAAAATTGCTTACGCAAAAGGCGAACGTATCTCCCCCCGGGGGGAAAAGGGTCATCAAGGGGAGAGGGACTCTGAACGATGACGTCTGATTCAGGGGAGCACAAAACAAATGCACTGCGGCTCCCTTTGCACATCCGCTTTTTAAGCCGATTTATGAGAAATATACACGACACCCGCAATATGTTTGGGTTTCTCTACAAAAAGAAAAAAAGAAATGTCATCAAGGGGGAAGTCCCACTTTATCTCCCCCCCCCCCTTGACAACGCACTGCGATCAAACATGAAGTGGAGCACTGCAGAAAACAAAAACATATATATACATAGATATATGTATGTATGAAGCCAGAGGCGGGGTTGAAGAGGGATGCAGATTGGCACACGTGAATGTCATTTACAAGTGCAAATATTTACCTTCTGAAGGTGCATATGAAAGTGGGCTACCTTCTGGCAAATATGCACCATGGATATATTTATTGGCACACAAAATGTTCACGAAATGTGTTCGAATTTGGAGCTACCTTTCAAAATATTCCAGAAATATTTATTGGAATTTAAATATATTTATAGTTACTACAGGCCATTCAAGTAATTTAATTTTTACATATTCTAAGAGTGTACAAAATGGTAAATTAATATTATTGTTAAGTAAAATGTATAGCTAAATATATAGCTACTTTATATTTTTATTAAATTTTCTAAGCTCAGGAAATCTAAAATTGAATTATGCCTTCACTTGACAGATCTTAAACTAAGATCCATGAGCTTACAATATTTCTATAACATTTATATTTCAAACACTTTAACATTTTTTATTGTTCAAAATATATATGTCACATATACCCACAATATTCTGCTTTAAACAAAACATGAACACACGCCATTCAGTCCCCAAAGTCAAAAGATATCGTAAAGTATTACTTTCAGGATATATATAAATAAATATAATTGCTCTGAAAAATTCTCGACAATATTTAAAGAAATTTAAGAAAATACACCACACAATAACCCCATCTTCCGTTCAACCAATCGCTCTCTCTTATTATTTAGGACCATAAATCAAGCGAAACGTGGAGAAGCACAGGAAATGTGAAAACATGGCAGTTTCATTAATTTTCCAATAATTAAGCCCAGACAGGGGACTACAGATTTTCTCCACACCTTCTCCACTACCATTTTTCCTGCTGCCTCTGCTGAATTATGGAATTAATAAAGCCAGTTGGCAGATTTGGTGGCTGCTTTTCACTCCCAAAAAACAGGGACTGTGAAAATTTCTGCAATGCGCTGCGCTTTTGTTCTAAACACAACGAACATTTTTGTTGCTAATTATGTAAGGTTAACAAGAGGGCGTGGCACTCATACTATATACATATATATATATATGAATTCCTTTTTTTTGTATTGTCGAGCATCCTGGGAGGCCAAAATAAAATCCCCGGCAATCGCTTGGCCTGCGTTTTATGGCGCTAATTGGCCAAGGGGCAGCAAAAGTGGGATGTGGCTAGCTGGCTGGCTGCGTCAATTAATTAACATAATTGTACAATTTTGCATAATTTAGTGAGCAGTAATGATGATTGTGTGTGCGCCAGCTAAGAAATTGTTGAGCTTTTTGGCCAAAAGTTATTTTGAATCAAGGGAAATATGTAAGATTTCTAAGCTAATGCTGGAATTTTAGTTAATTGGAAATATATAAGTCATACTCTAGAGGTCTTAAGGAATTTAATAAATAAACATGAGAAGAAAATATATATTAAAGACAAACATTGAGGAAATCCGACCAATACAATTTCGATTCAAAAATCAAATGATAATTTCAAACTGCCATGGCTATGATTCATTCTCATTCCCGCTCACTCATTTCACTGCCGGGTAAAATTGCTTGAAAATATGAAAATGCTTTTCGCATTTTCCCCCTTAGGAGAGCGACCAAAATGGTAATTAAACTGCTGGCCGAAAAGTGTCGGTTTCGGCCGGGATTCCAATGGCAGATTCGGGGCATTCCCGGGTATGAGGATTCAACTGGCCATCAAATTTATATTGCGGCTGTCCGGGGAAACATTTTTGAGTGGCTTCAATATGGTTTTTGGCAAAACGCATCACATACAGACAAACACACAAAATGGCAATTCGCTTTTTGGCCATCATCGATGCATGCGTTTTCAATTACTTTCGGGTTCAAATTGTTGATGAAATATGTGAAATACTCACTCTCTCTCTCTCTCTCTCTCTCTCTCTCTATCTCTCGTTTATTGCCGAGACAAGTTTACCACTTTTTCGCAATTTTCCTCTATTCATTTTCAATTTTTCCGGTTTTCCAATTCAAAATTGTAAATTCAATACGCAACAAATCTGATTTGGCCCTGGTGTGGGGGGAGCAAAAGTTTTCTAATTAATAGAAACGGTTTGTTGCAAAAAAAATATAGTAAATAAAAGTTTTTGCAACTTTTTACCACAGGCTATACTCATTAAAGGCTCAATTTTTACATCCCTCAATTATTACCCATGGCCATCTATCAATTATTTTACCATTTTTCCCGCGCACAAATCAATTAAACTTTTGCTGCGAAATTTTCACAGACTTTGTTGCTTCAATTTTTTTTTGTAGTTGCAATTAATGAATTTTTAATAGCCGTACTTTGGTTAATGTAAAAAGTTTTCCCACTAATGCCGCAGGAGGAAAAAAGTGGGGCTTAGGCTACTTGTTGTAATTATGATTGTAGTTGCAAAAAAGTTACTTGGCTATGTAAATCTTTTGAGTTTCTTTTTTATGGCAAAGAGTTTGAGGGAATTATAAATAAAATATATATATATAGAGGGTGCAGGTAAAAATGCAGTCTGGCAAAAAGTTGTAAAAGTTGTAAAGAATGTATGTGTTTATGTCAGTTTGAGTTTGAGCAGAGAACTTACAAAATCTTTATGCTTGAACTGAAACTATAGTAGTACTATCCTATATCTGTCTCTAATATTTCCCCTCACTCTTTTAGAACCACATGATGACTTCAACCCGCTGGCTCAATCTCATCACAGATTAGATGACCTGCCACAAGAGGAGGTTCGAGCAGAGAACGCCTCTAACGCCTTTTGGAACAGCAGTCATACCAAAACCACCGAAGCACACACATTTCAATTACACACACAAACTTGGATGCCTCCTCCTCCTCCTGGACCTAGTCCTAGTCGGAGTCGTAGTCCGAGTCCTAATTCGCCTCCTGCCTGACAAACTCGATTGTATGCAATTTAGGTTAAAATGATTTCGAATCAGCTGAAAACCACTGGCCAAGAGACAGTTGTCGGTGGTCTGTCGAAGAACGATTGAAGCCCCCAGAAATGACCCCAAGGGCTGTGCGTCCCGGTGGTAGCCTTGGGTTGGGTGTGGCCCGAGTGCAGACTTGTGTCACGTTCAAGAACTCTAAACAGGGGGAAAATTAGTTTGATGTCCTCCCCGAGAACACACGCATACACGCACCGGCACACAGAGGACACTTGAGGGGAGGACATGAGGCGAAATGTCAACAGCAGTCGAGCCGAAAGTGAAATCAAAGCCAGCTTGTGACAGTTCCCCTCTCCCCCCCAGTTCGACTTTCATCACCCTGCCTCCTCCTAAACATTCTAACTAACGCCCCCCAATCGAGTGAAAGTGCAGAGACCGAAGCTTAGTTGCTGTCATTCTCCAAGTGAAATGCCATTCAATTGACCTGCTTGATGGGAATGGTGTCCCGGACTCAGGACTCGGGATTCGGGAGGTGTATGCGGATGTTTAGCTATTTTGTTAGCACGCATTTGATACACTTGAAGAAATTCTTATTTAAAAGGTTCATAGATTTAATTTGGAGCAATTAGAAAGGAAAATTTCTTAGAGAAAAAATAGTTCATGTAGATTTAATTTAAAGCAAATTCAGAAGAAATTTTTAGAAAAATATGTTCTAGTAAAGATTAATTTAAATCAAATTAAGGAAACCTTTTCTAGAGAAATAATAACTAAAGTAAAGAAATAGCTGATTAATAATCGAACCATAAAAAAAAATTCATAATATATTATTCTCTATAAATTAGAGATGACAGAACCTAGTTTAAAGCAA